TGGCATAAAAACAGACACACTAACCAATGGAATGGAACAGAGAATCCAGATATCAACCCACATACCTACAGCCATCTGATCTTTGACAAAGGCACCAAGCCTATACACTGGGGAAGAGACTGCCTCTTCAACAAATGGTGCTGGGAGAACTCAATATCAATATGCAGGAGAATGAAACTAGACCCATACCTCTCACCATATACTAAAATCAACTCAAAATGGATTAAAGAATTAAATATACACCCTGAAACAATAAAACTACTCAAAGAAAACAAAGGAGAAACACTTCAGGAAGTAGGACTGGACACAGACTTCATGAATGCGACCCCAAAAGCACAGGCAAACAAAGGAAAAATAAACAAATGGGATTATATCAAACTAAAAAGCTTCTGCACAGCAAAAGAAACAATTAACAGAGCTAAAAGACAACCAACAGAGTGGGAGAAAATATTTGCAAAATATACATCTGACAAAGGACTAATATCCCGAATATACAAGGAACTCAAACAACTTTACAAGAAAAAAACAAGCAACCCAATTTAAAAATGGGCAAAAGAGCTAAGTAGGCATTTCTCTAAGGAAGATATACAAATGGCCAACAGTCATATGAAAAAATGCTCAACATCACTCAGCATCCGGGAAATGTAAATCAAAACCACACTGAGATACCATCTTACCCCAGTTAGGATGGCTAATATTCAAAAGACTGTGAATGATAAATGCTGGCGAGGTTGTGGAGAAAAAGGAACTCTCATACATTGTTGGTGGGACTGCAAAATGGTGCAGCCTCTATGGAAAATGGTATGGAGGTTCCTCAAACAATTGCAGATAGATCTACCACATGACCCAGCTAACCCACTGCTGGGAATATACCCAGAGGAATGGAAATCGTCAAGTCAAAAGGTATATCTGTTCTCCCATGTTCACTGCAGCACTATTTACAGTAGCTAAGAGTTGGTACGAGCCCAAATGTCTATCATCAGATGAGTGGATACGGAAAATGTGATATATCTACACAATGGAATACTACTCTACTATAAAAAAGAATGAAATACTGCCATGTGCAACAACATGGATGGACCATGAGAGAATTATATTAAGCAAAACAAGTCAGGCACAGAAAGAGAAATATCACATGTTCTCACTTATTTGGGGGAGCTAAAAATAAATAAATAAATACACAAATAAACTGAGTGGGGAAGGAAAAAGACCCACAATTACAATTCCTTGAAGTTGATACAATAAAGGAACAGATACAAGGTTGTTGGGAGGGAGGGGGCAGAGGGCGGAGGGAGGAAGTTTTCAGTAATGGGCCACAGTATTCGACCACATTGTATATTGACAAAATAAAATTAAATTTAAAAAAAGAAACTAAATTCAACCATAAGTGAGTAAATAAATGACAGTATATCCATAACATACTTAAATAAGAATGGACACTTCTATCAAGACATACAACAAAACATCAGGAACTCTTGGAAAGTCTGACTTTCAAGTAAAATGGGATTTACCACTTTAAATAACCAAAACTTTTATTAAAATTAAGCATTTTAGAAAAAAAATTCTACCTTCTTAAACATAAAATATAGTACAACAAAAAGAGCTGACATTTATTAAGTTTACTGTGCTAAGTACTTTACATACTTATTTAGTTTTCACCAAAACTCAGGTAGGTACTATTAAGTGGCCCCATTTTTAAAAGTTATAACTGAAAAAACACAAAGGTTAATTTATTTGCCCAAAGTCACACAGCTAATAAATGATGGAGTCATGAGTTAAATACAGCAGTTTACCTTTCTATTCTGCCTATTAATACGTTTATTCATTAATTCAAATATTTATCGACCACCTAATGCATAAAGAGCATTGTACTGGGAAATGAGGATAGGGCAGTGAACAAGAAAGCTTATTCATGAAGTTCACCTTCTGATTGAAAGACAGACACTCTTTTTTGTTTTCTAACAAATAAGGTAATTACAGATTGTTTTAGTTGTTCCAGTTCCTTAGAAATACATGAAAGAACTCACACAATAGAGAAACCCCATGAATGTAAGGAATGTGGTAAAGCTTTCACTTATTCCAGTTCCTTTCAAAAGCACAAAAAACTCATATTGGATAAAAATGCTAACTGTAAGGTTGTGGGAATGCCCTCAGCTGACTCACACACCGACAAAAACATGTACAAATGCACACTGGATTGAAACCTCAGTAGTTTTCAAAATACAGGAAAGTTTAAAATTTTAACACATACTTTAAAAGTCATGTGAAAACTCACACTTTGGTGAAATCCTATAAATGTCTGTAATACGGAATGCCTGATGACAATCCATGTATAATGCTCTACAAAATTTACAGTATGAAAGAAATGTAGTAAAATAAATAAAAACAAAAAAAAAATGTTATAATGGAAATAAACAAAGCAGTGTGACAGAGTAACTGGGAAAGGCTTACTTCTGTTATGGTGTTAGAGAAAGGCCTCCGTTAGCTCTGTTTGTCCCTGAAGACAAGCCAGCCAGACAGCCAGGCTGTGGACCAGAGAAACAAGAGGTAGAGAGAAGACAGACCACTCCTAGTGAAAATGATCAGATGTGGCGAGGAAAAGCCCTAGTTTCATCACAGATGAAGAAACTGGTTTAGGAAAAGTTGAAGTGACTTGAACAAGGTCTCAAGCTGTGACTAAAATGGCTGTGATTTCAGAAAAGCGGTGATGTTTTGGGTAAAGGAAAAGAGTATTATAAACACAGCTTCTGGCTAGAGTGAGGGAATAAGAATAGACTGAGAAAAGGAGCCCTGATTGTGGGGCTAGGATCCTTACAGCAATCGAAACTCTATTTGCTGCATAATCAGACTGAAGGAAAAATAACTTCTGTACAAAACGTTTTGTTTGGGTGGTTTTATGTGGGTGCTTGCAAGGTGAGGAATTACAGTACAGAAATGAATTAAGAGACTACTACAACTAACTTGGTGAGAAATTTTCAAAACTAATACAGGTAACAAGAATAAGGAAAAAGAGCTGTGAGAGCCACTCTGGAAATGTTCTGCATAGCAGTGGTACCAGAAATATACCTACAGAATCCAACATGGAATACCCCCAATCCTACCATAGTGAATAAACCCTGCATGTTTTCACAAATATGTCTGACATTTTTCCACAAGCCCCAATAATTCAATATTCTTTCTAGTGAATGTCACCTATGCTTGATGAACACGGTTTCATGGCACTTTTTAAAAATCTGAACAAAGTGTCAGTATACATTAATTTATTTTTTATTACCAAATGTCACATAATTTTAAGCACAGTGTAAACCACACTATTCTACTCAGATGGTGCACAATTTCCAAAAGCAAACTATTGTTTTTTTTGTTTTAAATCCAGGTCTCACGTAGGCCTCAGGAAATTAGAATCTGAAAATTTTAAAGAAGCAAAAGGACCTGTACCAGGTTTAGCAAATTGAGTAGTCCAAATGCTATTTTTAGATCAAGTGACACTTCTCTATGTGCAACTTTTTCCAAATGATACTAACAAGGTCAAGGATCATTATCCTATCTAAAAACAAGACCTATATAACACAGCTAAGATCTCTTAACAAGGGCTTATCAACCAGTGCTGTTACTTTAAGGACTATATTTATATGTTTATTTTATACATATATCTTTATGTTTTTATGTATTTTGTATTCGAAAATACTTATATTATTTGTATTTATTGTTTTAATATATTTGTTTTAATTCTTATTCATTTATATTTTTATACATGGCAGTGTTAATTGTACCGGCATTCTTTTAAAAACAAAAAGCCTTACATTGTACCAGCGTTTCATTTTCATTGGATAATTTAGGCTTCAGAGAACACTGTGAAATATATAAAAAAGAAAAAAACTGTCATCATTCCCTCTGTACAGGGTAACATTGGAGCTCAAAAAGATTTCAAAATCGCACAGTAATTGGCAAGAACGGTGACCTGACCAGGCCTTCTGACTTTTTATTCATGCTCTTCTCTCCCCCCCCCATCCCCACCAATGTAATATATGTATATTCATGTGCCTCTCTGCAACAAACCTGTACTGTAATTAATAACCATACTACTACCGCCCTACCAATATGTGAGTCTCGAAATTCAGCAGGAATCCTAATACTCTTCAGTAAACGTAAACACAAGCACACGCTTCAGTCAGGACCCCATTCGATGCTGGGTTTGCTCCACTGCACAAAACTTGCTAAAATACACTAGGGCCTTAAAGCATAGCCCTCAATGGAACTATCCTTATCACTCAGTAGGAAATTCTGTAACAGAGAGGTGACTCATCCCGTTAACTTCTGGTTTTCTAAATTAATAATTTTGGATGCCAAAAGAAAAGAATGAATTACACAGACCCCTTCTCTACACCCACCCCCGAAGTTGCCTAAGTGTCAATGCGCGGTAGTAACACAAAGAAGTGGGCTGGAGCTAGCATTCCTCCTCACTGCGACTCCTGCTGTCCCCTCAGGCAACCCACCCCTCAAAGCCCAGGAAGTCGCTTCCGTCCCCCAATCCAGTCGGGATCACAGTGACTACTCGGCCCCACAGCCCCGGTGCCCCATACCAGAGCCCTGCCGGAAGCTGCGGTTGTGGTGACTCGCACCACTGGGGCTGCCCATTTCCCCGGCGTCCCTACCTGCTCTGGGAAGCCCGCGCACCTGGCAGTCCTCGCCGGGCGGAGGATGCGCGGCAGGAACCCGCCCCTTACCTCGGCACCCTAGGGCGGGCAACACGGGGCAAGTCTGCTCCCGTTCCCCGCCCACATGGCTGAGGCGGACCGGACCCCCGCGTCACCCCTGCGCTAACCCCGTCCGGAGGGCCCCGAGACCCCCAAAGGCCGGAGGGGCGGCGGCGGCGCCGCAGGGGGTGGGGGAGGAGGAAGCACGGCCAGGGGAAGAGGAGGAGCTCTTCCTGGCCCGCCGGGCAGAGGAGGGGAGGAGGTCTGGCGGCAGCTGCGGCGCCGCGGGGAGTGGGCGTCTACCTGCGAGCAGAAGTACGAGCCCTGGATGCCCAGCTTGATGCAGGTAGGGCACTGGAGCTTGGCCTCGCTGCTGCAGCCGTCCGTCTCGCACACCCGAGTCTCCACGGCCGCCATGCTGCCTGCCTGCCGGAGGAGCGCCTCACTGAGGAAGAGGAGGAGGAGGGAGAGAGGAACGGCCGCGCGGAGGGGAGGAGAGAGAGCGAGCCGGGGGAGGAGCTCTGCCCGCAGCGGGCCTGGGCGCGGAAGGGGGAGGAGCGCTCGATCCCGACCGCGCTGCGCGCCCCACCCACCCCCCACCCCCGCTCCGCGGGAGCGCT